ACTGATCTTCTAAACGATTGAGTGGCTGTATTCACGAGTAAATTCGGAAGTTCTTTGCACTTTCCTGCCGGAAAAAAACTCAAAAACGTCCAGAATCCTGCTAAAAACCGAAAAATCTTCCTTACAAAAGTGAACCAACCGGAGTTGAGATTTTTGTTGAGAGAGTTGGAGTTGGAGTTGGAATTGAAAAATTTTGAGCGAAGTTGGAGTTGGAAATTTGAAAACGGAGCTAGAGTTGGAGTTGAAAGTCAGCGGAGTTGCCCAGCCCTGCGCCAGCATGAACGGGATTTTGGCTATTGGTGAAAAACTAAAATTGTTTAGGTCATATCATACTTGAACAATATCGAAACACTATTTTTCAGATTCAGTCTTTTACGGATAACAAGAATGAAAAACTTTCAAGGTTCCCAAACACATTGTGTTCGAGTTTTACGTTCATTTTTAAAAAATAAGTCGTTTCTAAAAATTTAGAAATTTTGAACATTAAAATTTTGATTCGAAAGATTAAAACACACACATATGTTTGTTCAGCTCGACGAGCTCTATCCAGCCATGTATAAATATCGCAAAAATGAATTTTACTTAAGTTACCGATAAAAGTTGAATGTCTTTTAAGAAAACGGTAAAACTCTATGCTTGAAATACAGGCATCGCACTCTTAAAAGCATTTCTTGGAGATATATACAGAAAAGGCAATTACGTTGACGTGTTCGTTAGGTATTGCTAATGTGTGTTTTTAAACAAAAATTATTGGCTTTTTACTAAATAGATCAGAAACCGGAAACAAGCATTTAAAGACATTTTGTCTTGTAAAAGCATATAAAAAATATAATTTGCATTTATGTTTTTCCCGTAAAGTTTCTTTTTTCGGCGTAGGAGGTTGATAGTGTTTACTCTGCGACTAGTCCAGCTAGTGGTGCCTTTTTTTCATTCTTTTTCAAAAGATTATTGGAATAAAGCTACAAATTAATCTAAAATTGCAACTAGATAATTAAGTAGATTAAACATTTCCCTATAAATTGAAAAGTGGCTGGGCTTCGTTATGAAAATACAACTGTTGTATAACAGCCCAAAAGATCGATTTGGAGGCTATCTGAAAAACGTGTCTAAAAGAGTGAAGATAAGCTGGTGAGAAATGAACAAGTATATCAGTTTGTAGGAAATTGTTCGCTGTAGAAGATGTGATAGCTTTTTCAAGTTCGAAACTATTCTAATTAATCTGTATTAATCAAAGAAAAAACAGAAAAACGGTAATGCTCTGACAAAAACGGTCAAAAGCGTCACAGCGTTACCGTTTTTCTTTGATCTATCCTAACATCATGCATCATAATTCGCTGTGCCAGGCGTAGTGGATAATAATCTTTCGATTTTATGAGTTTACTTTTTGAATAGTTTTGTTCATTAAAATAAAGATAGAAGAGATAAAAATATGATGATTAGGAAGGAAGCGATGAAAAGTCTTCAAATGCTTCGAAATATATGACAAGATATAATACGTTCTGACGCTTAATTATAATTCAACATTAGCCATTTAAAACAGAATTTACGAATGAATGATTTTGTATTTATTAGATCAGGAAGTTCTCTCACAAGATTAACACTGTTTATAGAGAATCTTCCATGTCGTCGGTGATTGTAGATAACACCATGATGATTATTTTTTATGCGAATAAAAAAACAAATGTTGAGACAGCGTGGTATAGTTTTGTTCAGGAAACGAAGCATCAAAAACAAACTATAGTTCGGTGCAAAATGGTACAAATTATTTATTTTCAACTTTGATGCTCGACTGCACTAGTCATAACATATCTGAACATAACACTCTAAAAAAAAGTGCAACTTAGGATCATTAATGCGCATGTGATCATTAGGTGCATTAATCTGTCTTATTTTCACAGAATAAGGCACATTAATGCGACTTAATTTGATCCTAAGTCGCATTTTCTTTTTAGGGTGAACAGTCCATTGAAACTAGCAAAATTGCATTATTTATCCTTCTCAATTAATTATTTTAAAATCGTTCCAGAAAACAATATACTTTGACTGTTTATCAAGTCCTATTGTACTTAACAATTCTGGGAATCAGTGCGTAATCATTTTTTAGCTTGGCTCTCTCTGAAAATTAAAATTGAGGTCTTGTTTACGAATATCCATGTTACTATTTATGGTAGTTCGCCAAAGAAACAAAGATAATACTAGATTTTTCGTTGTACTGATAAAGTAAATGATGTAATGAATGTTGACGAAAATTAATATTTTTTTGAGTATAAGTTAGTGTAACTCTATTTGATAATCCATAAAACAGATGTTTTAGTTTGTCAAGTATAAAGTATTTTGTGTAATAGACCATAGACATCTGCGATACAATAGGGATAGTGTTTAAAAAATACCCAGGAATATCAATAAATATTCACGGCCTACTTATTGTCATCTTACGTATGTGCTACTTTTTTTTTAATGAAAAAAAGGCGGTTAATATACATATACAAGTATGTACTTAAAGTTCAATAAAAACCACTTATCCGGAAACTTTTTCTTCAATGAAAATCTGTATGGGACGTATAATTGAACAAAATTCCTGATCAACATAAACTTCTTAAAAATAGAAAGTTAATGAAGAAACTAGAAGATAAATCTATAGTTATAGGTCACTACTAGTCTCTCATGTCAAGAGCAGTTTGAACGCAAGTTTTTCTCATAAATTATAATATTTATGCAATTCAAATACGTATAGACACATTTAGAAGTCGTCTAGTGAAAAAAAGCGAGAAAACTTAAATAAAAAAATTTAAATCAGTTAAGAGAATGTTATATGTATATTCATTTCCTTTGTCGGTCTAGATATATATTGTTTATCGTTAATTATAATAGTATGGTAGATTATGTTTAACCATGAGCAGTTTATATTTTAAAATAAATTCATCTTGAAATAGAGTTGAAAACAAATTATTTTACATTGTGAATGGTTTTTATGGCACTCTAACATTACTATGAAATGATACTGTTAAAAATGATATAGAAACCAGAGCGTGGGAAAAATATAATCTGTGTTAATCTATATTCATCTAAGTAATATTTTGTTACTTTGTTTTAGGATAGTAATAAAATAAAAATGAAAGTTCAAGCTATATGTTTTATTTTAAATGGTCATTAACAAAAGGTGTTATTGCTATGAAAGATAATAAAATATAAACTTTCAAATATATATATTCTCATGGGGCAGATGCTTTTATTTTGATAGTTATCGCTACTTTTTTTTTAATATTTGTATAAATAAATAACTATCTATACAAGACAACAATGTCGTCATTAAAAGGTAAAAAATTAGTGATGCATCTCGATAATAATATATCATTTTTAACATCTAAAGTAAAAAAATAGAATAATAGATCTAGTAGGATAATTTTGAAAAAAAGATCATATAGAAACAAAAACAAACGAAGAAAAATGATGTTCGCTATCTATCAATAGACCACAAAATCCGGGTTTTTGACAAGAGGAAAAAGAAGAGAAAAAATACAGGAAAGACGAAACAGCAATAGATGTTTGTTAAATTAGCGATAGTATACATATATATATATATATATATATATAAATATGTATGTAACACGATCCCATTTTTACTGCTATTCTTTTGTTGTCTAGATTTGACCAAATACGACGACGATAACTATTCGTTTTTCTTAAAATAATGAATTTTGGTAATAATACAACGACGACAACATTATTGTTGGCAGTAAATAAACCTTGTCTACGAATAGTAATTGCCGTCGTCTGTATTATACTATATATATTTGGATATATAGGTTGTCTTTTATCCATTATTACATTTTCTAGTAAAAAATTACGTTCACATTCAACAGGATTTTTATTTCTTATTATGGCATTCGTTGATATCTTTAATTTAATTGCGAGTCTACAATATTTTCTTGACGTTATTTATCAGATTAATGTTTTTGCATTATCCGTACATTTATGTCGTTTTATTACAATGTAAGTACTACTAATCTTATAATCAAACACTCTATATGACATATGTACTAATTTATTTGAAAAATGAATGAATGTTCGTTATCATCTATTACTCTAATAAGAGTTTAATATAAGATTCACGCTGTTTATTAATAAAAATATGAAAATAAATGTTTTAGAAGAATTCCTATGTTTAGAATAACCTTGTAAAAAATAAGAAGTTGAATTTTACACGTAGTATCAGCTTTTTTTATGATAAAATTCTTAGTTGACAATGAATGAAAATAACACAAAAATAATAGAATCAAGATTGAGAGATGAAAAAAAATGTGCACTAATAACAATATATTTTCTACTTTTATTAAAAAAAAACATCTCGTTATAGTCTTGTAAATGAATAACCACTAAAAAAAACAATGGAATTTCCTTCAACGACAAAAAAGAGTTTGTTTTGTTTCCGAAAGCGTTAATTTTGTGTTATTAAATTGTAAATGAACTATGATTACTATAATCGTACGTCACAAAAACTAATTTCACGTACCATTAGAATAAAAAATGTTGCATGACCTATAATAAATAGTTTAAAGATAACCACCTACTCACTAAATACGAACATACATAAATGCATTTAGGATATTTTATGACTGTAAATTGTACCTAGATATATCACTACGTTCTGTAACTTGATGCAGCTTATATTGACATAGATCTCAATTTATTTAAAACTACTTTCACTAGAAAATTATCCAAACTCATTTTTCTTTCTACTTAGATGCAATTATGAAATATACTTTGGTTTTTCATGGATATTTGTTTTTATTTCTTTGGATCGTTGGATCAAAGTTGAATGGCCTAGTAAAAGTCAAAAACTATGTACACGTCAAAATTTTATTTATCTTTGCTTAATTACCTTTATTTTATCATTAATTCAAAATATTGTCTATACTCTATTGTGTTTTGATAAATATTGTATACAATCTAATATTATTTGTGAAATATTTATTCATACTGTTTACATTATATTCTACATGACAATACCTATTGCTCTCATACTCATTTCAATTAGTCGTATATGTCTAATAACTCTAACTCTAAAAAAACGATTTCAGCAAGTACCACGAATGTCTACACCGTCAATCACTTCGAATCGTTTACCGACATTACCAGTTTCTGTTGTTGTCTCAAATCGAAATAGTATGGTGACAAGTACTACTGCATCTACATCGAATCATCATCATCATCATCATCATCACCATCACCATCCTTCCCACAGATTATCACAAATTAATTCTCAATCAGCCCGACGACGACGAAATCGATTAGACAATCAAATGGTTATATTAATCACAATCAATGTGGCACCATTCATCTCTGTTCATATAATTACAGAAATCGCCTATTTATTAGAAAAATATTCAACAATTAACAATGAATATGCCATATCAAAATTAGTCATTATTCTCATTTATCTTAGTTGGTATTTAATATCTGCAACACGATTTTATACAAATTGTTTATTGTCGAGGATATATCGTGAGGAATTTAAAAATAGACTATCTCTAATAAAAAATGGTTGTAAAACACAAAGACCAATCATCATATCGGAAACATCACAACATCGACATAGTGCAAGATATGGTATTGTAAATGATCCAACAAGTTTCAGTGCAAAACAACAACAATATACATACACACAATCATTTACATAAACGAGAAAAACTTTCTATTGTTATATAAGTGATTTCGTGTCCATATTCATTGCACATTATCAATGTTAGATGTTGTATATGTTGTTGTTTATTCATTTTCCGATGTAAAAAAGTTAAACAAAAGATAATCTTGGGGGCTGAGCATTCGGTGAAAAATATGATTAGCACAGAAATAGATGGTATCTCATTAAAATGTTTAAAGTTGGGTTTATCAACTATTCCAAATCAAATTTCGTTTATTCTTCAATTATCACTTGAAACACGTACATGTCTTGAATAGTAGTGATTAGTGAGAAAATAGCGCTCACCCAAGGGCGTCATCTATTATTAATTATACACCAATATCGTTTCTATATGTTGTTTCAAAAATTCTCGAAGAAAAGAGTTCACAAGTATTTTCTTCGATTATTACTTATAGTTTTTCGAGCATTTAACTGAGGTTCTAAGATTTCATTCTAGGCTCCTAGAATGAATAGGACAGAGAATTTTCTGCGTTACAAAATTCCATTACATTCTTTCCCTACATATTATTTTGTTATCTAAAAAAATACTGTAGAGCAAGGACATGTAAAAAGTATAACTGCGACGGAAGGAACTGGTTATATTTTTTTTGTACTCGACGTAATCGATTACTGGATAATGTTTCTGTTAGCTATTTATCACAGATACTTTGAATAAAGTGATTGTCTTCATTTAATTAATTCAAATTGAATAAAAAGTATTTTTCCTAACATTCAGTCACTAACAATCGATTGTCCTGAGTAATTTAATGAATGAAAGTGTGTAAGCGTCATTCAGTATAGTGACTGGAAGTCACCCACTTTAATCACAGCTTTCACACACTTTTGTGAGAGCAAACGAAAATCATCCACTATTCCAGATGACAAACCAATAAAGTGGCTGATACGGTCATCCACTGATGTGATCCACGAATTTCCAGTGATCTTGTCATAAAGATCATTATCATATAGGTGTGTTTGGATCGTTTGTAGCAAATAGAATCATTCTGAGATTCGAGCCATCCACAAGAACATCACTCTTTCTGCCGTGCACGTCTCAGGGTTTATCAGGTGTGTGATATGAATTTGTCGATAAAACCTAATTGAAAGGAAAAATTTTTTGTTTGATTTGAACGGATGAACTCTGAATTAAAACTAGGAGAAGAAACGACTGCTCGTGAGAATGTAGACTTTTTGGACTTAAGTTAGATTTTCTACTTAAGTTTTTTTAAGAAACAGACCCCTGTTCTTAATTCTCCTGTTTACTTAAGTGAAATTATTCACTTAAGTAAAACTTAAGTTTTTTCGAGAAACAGGCCCCTGATACTAATTAACGTGCGCACTAAAATTTACTATCACTTTTATATTATGTAAACGTGATAGTAGCAAGTAAATAGTGATAAAAAGCGAAAGATGCCGTCTCTATGTTTGACTGCACTAAAATACGTGTCACTCTGGAGTGAGAGTTCGAAAACGCTGCGTTAGTTTGACCTGTGAGCTCATGACTTCGCAGACAAGTTTTAGAAACTGGCCAATCAGAGAACGCTAAACTTTCATGTCATATCGATCATATATGACATCTTTTGCTGTTTTTTCGTACTTAAAAAATTCCAACTTGAACTGAATCAAGTAAATCCATGCAAACTAAATCAACTTTTCTTTTAGATCTTCATAAAAAGTTTATAAGATAAACTGCTGGAGGCTCAAGTTTTGTGAAAGTAATATGGATTTTTTTGCACGAAACTTCAACTGGTTGCGATATATTACTGATACACGCAAAACGTATCACCCGTAGAAAAGTAAAATTCATTTAGAGTCGTGAAAAAGTGCCTTTTTGTATTCAGCACACTCGATAACCCTGAAGATTTTCCATTTTTTGCGTGCGGTACTGCCAAATGTTTAGGAAAAAGTTTCAAACAAAATGGCGAAAAAAAATTTTCGCGGGAAAATAATAAAAAATATCAAAAAATTTTCTGAACCTTTGGCAGTAATCCTCGCTAAAAGTAGAAATCTTCGTCGTTAGTGAGTGTGCTGAATACAAAAAAGTATTTCTCTGCGACTCTAACTGAAATTTAGTTTTTCTTAACATTGATATGCTAAAGTCAAGTGTTGTGTAAGACACTAGAAGCAAGGCACTATTTTCATTCTTAACGTTGATTAAGTAAAAAATTGTACAAAACTGTACAAAATATTATGTTTGCTTGATTGTATTTAACAAATAATGTGTTATACAGTTCTGAAATCATCATCTGAAATAAATGACATTTTATACAGTTCTGTACTAAGTTTAAATCTTCCTTTTTAATACTGCAATTCTCACTTGGATTTTTAACATTGATTGTGGAGTTTTGTGCGTAATGTTTCCGTCTAATTTATCGCAATAAACTATAGCAAGGTAGAGATATGATGAACAGTAATTTAGCATCACTATCACCTCATCCACGGTATGGTAGACTTGAAAGTTTCGGCATAAGTTACTATTATCAATGTGGGTTTACGTTGATTGTTGTACCATTTTAATTACATGCTCCTTTCTCTGTCATAAAATTTGATCCTCCTGCAGGCCATTTCATCTATAATTCAAAAATATTCCGCAATACCACTTACGTAAAAAACAAATTTTCTTAAGTTTGTATTCATTTATTTAATTCATTCTTTTTTTAAAAAAATCTTATGGAAAAGACACCTAGTCGTCATCATTTTAATTTATTCAAAAACTGACTTTTTGTTTATGTTCGATTTCGTTCTGGTTTACTGGTTTTTCTTCAAAGATTAATTAACGTGGCATCACTTTTGGAACTATCCAGTAAACCTAGATGATCTTGATCGAACGATGTGTTAACGAAGGATTATTGCGACCTCTTTAGATCTCGACAAGTCTTGTACTGGGGTTATTTCAAGAGAGAAGTAGAGGTTCCAATCAAAGCAGTAGCAAAAAGGCAATTAAGACAAATACCTGCTTGAAATTTGCAAGGTATTGTTGATATCTAGTCATTATCAAGTTTTTTTTATTTATATAAACTTTATTTATCAATCAAAATCAATTGCAATATTAATATTAAATGATTGTTCAACTATGAACATTTTAGATAACTACTCCATCACATACAAAATATGAGAGGAATAACATTAATTTTAACCTTCTTTTATTTTTATTCGAGAAAATATTATTTACAGATGATTAATGATATTGGATATTAAACTCACTCTCGACCTGTTTGTGGAAAAACAGGCAGATGCAAGCGACAAAACTTTTTTACTACCTAACTTTTTCTGAACAGTTAGCGCGTATTCTGTTTTCAGATGATATTTTCGTGCTATCAAAGTTCACAAGTTTACAGAATATCGCGAACAGGAATAAGATGAATCATTACCAATACATTTCAGTACATACATTGAACATATATGTGTATAAACCTGTCGAAAGATATTTTGCAATTATATTAAAGTGGTTGGTTTGCACAACATTTGTTTTCTTGATTACCGTTGACATGTAGAACTGAAATTTATCCAGAAGTTGGTGAATTCATTGACGTTGAATTGAATACGAATTAATTATACTAACAGCATACCAAACAAATCGCTTGGTGGTTTAAAAGAGAAGTACAAAGAACCAATAATTATGATTCAACTATAGATAATGTTACCGAATAATTTTTTTGGGTATCGACCGTTTTAGAGATGATATCCATCACAAACTGCGAGAGTTATGAAAGGAGTTTTTCTTCATCAGAAAACACAGCTAACATTTGGTGTTTTTAACAAGTGTTTTGCTAATTAGTACTATTCATTTCGAGTTTTATCACCTTAGTGAACGTAAAGTAATGTATGAGAGTCAGCTTTTATAGCCCTGTCAACTGGTTTACTTCTGTTTGCTGAAGAAATTAACTGTGAAGTACAATAGAACGAACAAACCAAATTCAAAGGTCATTTCTGCAAAAATGAGGATTTTAGCCACATTCAAGCATCACCACAACCCTCTTTATAGTAGTAAACCTTCTCACTTACATTTTTGAGTATTTTAAATTCAGAACTACCATATTAAGTAGAATTTTTAGAGATAATAAGAAAATTGTAGGAATCGCAGCAGTCCTGATTTTGGCTTTTTTATTTTACCCTGAAAAGGTCCTGATTTGAACTAATCTTTTCTAGTTTTCGAGATTTTTCATATTTTTAAATTAGTAAGTGAGTAAGGAACTGTAAGTGTATGTAAAGTCATGTATATGTAGTAGTTTTACCAGAAAAATCACGTTAAAAAACCTAATCATAGCTAACACTTTACAGCATGCAGCAACGAATACCAGCAGATGTTAAAGGCATACAACACATGCGTGTTTAATCATATTTTGTTGGTGTTTTTTAGTGATGGTTACTGATTATTTCTTAAATTGATTTCAAACATTTCTTTCGTAATTGATTCAAGTCATCGGTATTCTTTGTTAGGTGTTGTTGTCGTCAGCAAGCTTTTTGTTTTTGTCTTTGATTAGCATCTGAACCGATTCTAATGCACCAAAACCACGCGTTTTTATTGCGTTAGCTAATCGAATTGAACCTTTTTCGATGATTTTTTGTGCATTATCCAATTCTTTTTGTAGGCCTTTCTGTTCACTTAAAAGTAAGTCTTCTTATTCTGATATTAATAACTTATTAGCAGCAACGATTTTTCTTTTCTGCTTCTAGTTGTTTTTCTTTTAATAATCGATTCTGTTTTTCTTGATCTCCTTTGTTTCGGTATGCACTTTTAACATTTGATAGTAGCACTTTTGTCATCTTAATCTAAAATGATAGTTATTGAGAGCATGATTATAAATTCGTAGTGTAAGCTTGATAAGATGGTTAATAGATTAGAAAAGAATCAGTGTATGTTTTTTGGTATACATGCAAACATATGACTGATATAAACACATATATGTGTATGCATCGCAGCAGAAATAGAACGGTTGTTATACGCAACACAGAGAGAGATAGCGGAATACATTCTGTTGATTATTTCTTTCGACAGACAGTTTTACAGAGAATTTGGCCAAAACAAATACAGACAGCAGCAACTCATCAACAAAATTTTTCATAGAAAATGATCGTTATAGTCTAAGTGAATTATTAGTTTATGACACGATGGTATCTGATAGGGTCCTACCGTTATAGTGTATCGCTACTATACCGTTGTTCGTTCAAATTTTATCGAACACTAGCTCTACTTAGAATCACAAAACATATTTAACTTGTAAGGCAGGTTGCGAGAGAGTCTATAATACAAATTTTTGAAAAAAACGCGCTGAGAAATTAGTCCTTTTCTCTTCGTCCTGATTTATCTTCATTTTTGGAATGAAAAATCGTGATACTGTTCCTGATATTTAGTTATAGGCTCCTGTCACCTCAGGCAGGATTTTTCGGAAGTATTTCGAAGATCTCTTTACTTATCGGCAACCAGTTTTTAAAATCAGCATCAGAGTCCTGATCAGTATGAACAATTGTATCGAATGTTATATGCGATGCAAACATTTTCATAATAAAAATACTTAATCGAAAATTGTCGTTCTTAGTCTGTTCACTTTGGACGAAAAATTTTTTTTGGCAACTTGTGATGAATGAAGATCTGAAAGACGTGAAAAAATTAGTTTATGCTTATATTTTGATATAATATAAACTGCCAGTTGTTACAAGCAGTTTATTGATCGTTATATAACAATTTAGATTTAAAAACAGAAACTCTCTCATTCTCTTTTCATTCTTCTTTCATTATGTATGTCTCTTTGTACAAATATATGTTAAGAAAATAGGAGATTTAATCTCCTATTGCTGTTGTTATTAGTATATACAAAGATTTTCTTTTCTTTCGACCAATCTTTTCGTTTTCGCTTTTCTTACGCTGGACAGCTCCTGCTGGACTTATAGACTTAAAAGATGATTCTGTGCATCATCATTTCTTTCCTACATCATGTTATAGCAGTTATCCGCTATCTCGAAAAGTTATTTCTTGTGTAAACGTACTTTATTTTCATCATATTAGTTATAGATTTTTTTCTAGATGATTGCGTTTTATACATAATTTATTTTTAAACAAGATGCCAATGTCTGTGATAAACATTAACTTTTCTACGCCACGACAACGTTCATCAACATTACCACTGACTCCACCTTCCTCTACTTCTTCATTGTCAACCAAGAAATTTTTACCATCAATCAAGGGATTAACTCCACCATTTAAATCGCGAACTCCTTCATCGTTTCCATTATCAAATTTATACGTTTCACTGTCATTAAGTACTGATCGTTTATTAAATAAAACTGGAAAAAAATTTTCAATTAAAAAGGATCATACATCACCATTAGGATCAATAAACCGACTCACAACAACACCAACGCTCGTTCGTCGATCACCAGCACGAAATTTATTTACTAACGCACAAGGTAGATGGAAGGTCTTGTTTCACAGTCCGAACTTATCGCGTTCTTTTTTTCTATGAGAGTACTCTTTTGAAATTTGAGTGAAATCACAATTTAGACATTTATTATCAATATATTTTCTTGAAATATTTTCAAATGTGAAGTGGAAGATTAATCACAGTACACTGAAGAATAAAAATCAAAAGACTATCACTACCATGAAAGGATTTTTAGATTGCTGCGAAATGTTTCATCAGTTTTTCACCGTTGATTTCTTAATTTACTTTCTCCTATTTTAGATGTCCCCATTTCATCCACAAAAGGTTCACCTATGCCAGCAAGAGTTACTTCTCCGTTACGTACGTTATCGGACATTGAAACGATGCATCAGTCGACGGAAAAAAGTCCAACACAATGTTTATTCTTTACAATCTCCTCAGCAGCAACAACGGAGCCATTAATCTCAAAATCGAATAATGCAGTAATGACGAACCAATCATTTTCATTATCAAAATTTAAAAATGTTCTGTTAAAGCGAAAAAGTTCTTCAATTATTTTATTTGACCATTCATTCAAAGTAGCGACATCATTATCAACAATGAAACAACGCTTAAAACATCTGTTAGTCAAACGTCAAGAATTAAAGCATTCGATTGATAATTTATGTAGATTAAAAACAAGGAAAAAACATGTTTCACATAACAGAGGTATGTTTAATTATTTCATCAGCGGGTGTTTAATCTAACCATCTCTCGTTGTTTTAAAAAAACCTATGAAGTGTTCGTAATATAAGCCGATATTTTGTTTCTTTATAAAGTACTGGACACTTATAAATTTTAAATCATCGTTTTTGAATTTTTTTCCGGATCAGGAACGTTTGGTATTGAAATAAGACCATCATCGCCGCCACCACCACCATCCCCAAGCCCAGTACTACAAACACCAATTGCTTGTAATATTCTACGGCTTGCATTTAATTTGGAATTTGAAAAAATTGATCTTTTACATGACACATATATTTATTCTTCTTATTCGATCTACAATTATTTTTCTTATAATCATTTACTATCATTCTCTGATATTCTTATCTCCACCTCATCATCAATGACATTAAATGCCATCATGTTTACTACAACGTCAGATATTTATTTATTTCAACCAAAGTTCTTTTATAACAATGGTGATAGTGAGCAAGAGAGAATAACACAAAATTATAAATTTACATATTTAACTCTTGATAATGAACAAGTGATTTTAACAGCAGAAAGTGAACGAATAAATTCAAAAAATCAATTTCAAATTGGTTTTTGTTTTCAAGCGCATACAACAGTACAAATACAAACAACGTGGATTCATTATTTAGTTTCGTATAACAACGTAACGAAAAATGTTAAAAATTCTAAGGTATTAAGGAATTATATTTTTACAATATATTCTAAATTAATTCATAAATTCGACATGTTGTGCAATAGAAATTTTAATTAATGATAAAGGAAGGTAGTTTTAAGCGGATGGTGGAATCGAAACCTGTTTTTTCCTCTTTACACAGTTGATATTTTTAGGAATTTATCGGGTGGTCCATAATGAATCGGTCACTTAGTATTTCGCTCATATCTTAGTTGGATTTTATCCCCGAGGCTTTATTGCTTTCTTAAAAGATGCGCCGTGAAATTCTCTACAAAATATATACTAAACCTTTTTTATGTAGTGTAAAGATAAAGGAATATAAAAGAAAAACTACGAACCTTCGATCTAAATTACTTTGCAACCCAAAAGACAAGGAAAACAAATTTATCTTGAGCACAGTGCCATATGTCATAGTGAAATCAGCACGTAGGTTCTGGTATTCCGAAGTGTCATCTTTCTTTTCGTTTATCGGAGGTTCGGTTTAAACGTGTTTTTCTGACACAAAAGACAATTGTAATAAAATTTAACAAAAAAAATGGAAAGTCTTATCTTTTTCGCCGTGATACAGAAAAAGAAGAGAAAATATTCAATTTTCGCTGTACGAATGTAACAAAAGAATTATTTTACTTTCAGATAAAGCAAACCCGATCTCCGAATGTTAGATTTTGACTGAGTTATAAAAGTTTTTCTAATTCCACCAAAACTGCGGTTGGAAAATCGATAAAAGAAAAAAATTGTCTCACAGCCGACTATGATTACGAAGAGTTTTAAATATAGGCACTTGATAGAACTTTTTAAGAGCTACCAAATGGCTATCTTCGTGTTTTTTGTATCGCAAAATATGGAGGATTAAAATGAAACAAATTGTTTTTTCGGTTGCAAAGTAATTTAGATCGAAGCTTCGCAGTATTTCTTCTATTTTCCTTTATCTTTACACTACATAAAAAAGGTTTAGTATATATTTTGTAGAGAATTTCATGGCGCATCAACTTCGCCATTTTTAAAAAAGCAATAAAGCCTAGGGGATAAAATCCAACTGAGATATGAGTGAAATACTAAGTGACCGATTCATTATGGACCATCCGATACTTCTATATGGTGAGTTCAAGTAACTTCATCAGATTAAATGTAAATGTATGTCTCCCTGGTTTTTATTCGTTTTGCATTTTATTTTTTTTCATATCGTTCATGTCTGTGCTTTAGAATTGATAAAATTAGCTTGTAATTATGTATGTGAAGGTTGAATTGATCTTCTAAACCTCGCCTTGTTCATCGAAAACTATAATATTACTGGGCTGTCTTTTGCTTTTTATACATTTCATTATTCACGCTTCATTCTTATTTATTCATATTAGTCTAAATGTCTGTATCATACTTTATATATGTATACGTTGTTACGACGCCATCTTGATTGAGAACAATTTGAAACTGCATTCTTCTTATTCGAAGAATGAGATCTGCAAAGGAGAACAATATTTTATAATCTATCTTAAATGAGAACATATTCAGCTGCTGCACTCGAATGATAACAATTTATAAACTTATTCCTAAAGGAGAACATTTTCAAACAGTACACTCTCGAAGGAGAACAAATAGCCACTGCAATAGATGCTAACACGTAGTGATTTTGTGATGGTAAAGAATATAAACAAAATACATATTCAAACTTCCGTATCCGCCATCAACTTTACGCGTACGAAGACGATAACGAGTTATGACTATCTTTTCTAGTATCTTCAGTAGTAAATGGTAATGACATTTTTTGTTTCTCGATAATGCTTTGCAAGGTTCATCATTTTTATAAAGTTGAACGTTCGCCATGTTGATCGTCTTGGTATTCTTCAATCTATGAACTGCCTTATGGTGGTCTAAACAGTCTCTTCAGCATTATTCTTTCTCTAGTTCAGAGGTTTAAGAAGCTTCTTAATTAGCGTATGCTTTAATCTGTTATCTTCCAATTTACAACTGTTCTCCTTTGAGAATATATATGACAAAAATGTTCTCCTTCAAGAGTGCACGGTTTGTAAATGTTTTCACTTGAGAAATTATTAAGAGAATTGTTCTCATTCGAGAGGTTATCGTTGTTACTCTCATTTACTAATACATTCTTATTTCTGCTTTTTCTAGTTTATTCCCCGTGATCACGATCTATTACCGACAATTATTCAACAAACAGGCAAATCGTCCATTGAATCGTCATTCGTATTAGGTAAGTGAGTTTTTAGATTGTATATTGAGTCGAGCGTTTTATAACTGTATAATCACTTTTTACACTTGTAGTTCTAGCAAGACACGTAATCTTTAACGAAGTGTAGTACAACAATTCTGGTTGGGAAGAGAAGACGGAGGAGGAAATCTAACTTAAATTAAAAATAAAATTACTCAAAAAATATTTTAGTTCCTCACTAAAATTTTTGAAGCAGTATCAACATATTTACTCGTCTTATTAATACTCAAAATATGCTTAGTTTTATGTTGAGATAAGCAATGGCACCCCAAAACTGATATTTTAGTAAATGTATTTCTGTTTTTCTTATCTTTGTTTAACTGAGTAACTGTTGTATTATTTTTCTCGAGCTGTTGAACTGCATGCACTTTCAAAGCAATTGTTGTATAGTATAACTAACTAAATCTTTTGAGTAACCGAGTTAAATGTTGCATAATAAATAATATAGTTAATATATAAAGTACTTAACATATACTATATGTTTACTAATCGGTAAAAAAGGCGTTACTCACAAAACAAATTTTATTGTTCAATAAAACTTAACCATCCTCCATCACAATGTGCATTTTTCTAATAGCAGGGGGACATCAGGATTTTTTGCCTGTAAATCATTTTTTTCATGAATAATTGTCATTTGCCTGATGCTTTTATGAAAAAAATAAACATTCTCACAAAAAAAAATCACTTTTTTGAAAAAATCGATCTTGCACATTCATGAGAAAAAATTTCGATGGATATTTTTTCGATCCAAAACTTATTGTGTTATACATGGTTCAATGCGACTCGATGTGCTAATTTCCAATTTATCATTTTCATCGAGAAAAAAGGCTTTTTTTGGTAAATAAAAATGGTTTTTACGTGGAATAACAGAGAGTTTTGGAAACATCATACCGAGGTCTAAAAACAGAACCGCATTCGCCATAGATGCAATCGAACATTTTGTTAGGTTTTTGGATGGAATTGTAAGTCTAAACTGAGAAATTCTTTCACTGCTATGTTTTCGAATGAGTCTAGATTCATAATGCAAATTATTTTTACTTATAATCTGATTGAATAGAATAAAAAGAACTTTTTTCAATCATGTAGTACTGTGTTTATACGCTAATTTTCTGTTAAGTATTCTTCCACGATCCATAACAGCTGAAATGCAACTTCTTTCGGTGATAGTATACCCATTTCTCAAAGTATACATCTCTATTTTATTCCAGAAAAGGCATACTGTCATTTTCCTGTAGTCAAATGTTTGCCTCGATGCTACAGCTCATGAAACTATCCCTATATTCCATGATCCTGAGTAATGCTGGTTTTCGCTAAAATTAGAGCAAACAACAGTATAGTAGCACCAGATTATAACGCCAGGATTCTATCAGATAGAATCATGCAATAAACTAATAAGCTCAGATAAACGCAGATCTTTTTCAGTGAGTGCATTTATCTTTCTTTTCATGCATGATTAATTATTTGACGAAATGGTACATATATATACATATATTTTACTACATTCAAATCTAAAAATACGGTTTAAATTGGACAGATAAATCGATTTTACCTCCCACTATTTGTAGTCTATATCTCTACTAGAGTTAATTGAGCTACTTCAACTGTGTTCTCTGTATCTCGTATGTATATATATATATGTATTAAAATGTTGATTGATATTATTGTTGATTTTTCTTCTTTTCGTAAAAATTCCATGTCATTTCTTCTTTCCTTTGGAGATGGAATCGTTTTAGTGCACTCATTTGGAAACTCATCATTATCAGCAGCATTTTAAACGTAGCTATTCTCTTTCTCTCTCTTTCTGTCTCTCTCGATGATTGGTTTAATCTTTTTTTCTTTTTCATCATTGAAAAATAAAAGAAAGAAAAGACGAAAATAAAAATACATATGATGTACATCCATTTATTCAATCAATACATATATCGTATAACGTTTTGCTATTTGATTTTTTTTTTTATTTAAAAAAAAAAGAAGAAATCTCTTGTCGCGTCACATTAACAGTAGAAAATTGAATCTTATTGTTAATACTGCTTATGAAATAATCCTAAATAAGCACAAGACAATTACAACGACATTGGCATTATGCACGGTTACAAAAAAGTTCGATTTCGGTATATAAAAGATAATGGGAAAACAACGTCAGTTACAGTTCGCTGTAGTGTTAAACGTAAGTGTTATGATTCGTTTTTTTTTTTTGGTAACTATAAAATTAAAGGTGGAAAAATGAAAGTTGATGCTAATTAAAAAACGTACATTGAAGAAAAAAAATTAAAACATACACGTTTTTCTTGATTATTTAATAAAATGTGTGGATGAATATCATCCGTAGGTGTTCAAGTAGTTTAGCGTAGAATAAGATAAAATTAATTTTGAATGAAAAGTACAAGTGTTCCGCATTTAAGTTTCCATTTTAAAGAGTAGAAAACGTGATTTTCTCAACACTCTTTTCAAAATTTATACGGGCTTAGTTACTATTTAGTGTCAAAAGCAATATTGAATTACAAGTTAAAGTTTAAAACGATGAAGATCATTGTATAACACATTGTTCGAAAATATCTTCAGAATAAATCGATAGTAGGTTCTTCACAAGTATTCAGGGAAAATTTGCAAGAAATTTTTGCACTAAATGAGGATTATGGTACACATTTATACTATTGTTTGACGTATGATATATCGAAATCTTTAACCATCGTGTCTTGTGCTCTCATTTAAATTATTATTTTTGTCTATTAGTAAACAATAGACTACTTTAGGAGTTAAAATAGCCAGTAGATAGAACGTTTGACAAAAACAGATGTTTTTTAGATCAGTCAGCCATTAACTAATTAGTTTAACAGACTCGTGTACAAAGTGTTGAAGTTAAACGAATAAAACTTGTAGTGGAGAGGTTAATTGTCCTAGAGTGGGCATATTATTGTAGCTAGATTTGATAATCAAGACAGTTTTTAATTCTCAACATTGATATTAAGAATGTTTTTTTTAGATACTGATAGAGTATGTCATTTTTAAAAATCATAGTTCACAAATATGTCTATGATGGCATCAGTTGATGTTTTCTGCATGAAATCTTCTTCAATTGTCTAATCAATTGAATAATTTTGTTTGTAATTCATTAGAGAGAAGAGAAAGTTTAGTTTAGACTGTTCATTTTTTGTTTTTTTATTGTTCACACTTGGATAAGACTTGCTTTTTATTTTCTTGTGTATTGTCGGATGTTGTTTTATCAATCATAAAAATCTTGTTTCTTTTTCCCGCTAAATAGCCTACAGTCATTTGATTGATCATTTGACATTGATGTGACGACACGAGACAAACGTATAAGAGAAAATTGAACAGAAACGTTATAGATCACAATCAAAAACGATTTTTAAACTAATTATTGTTGGCACTAAGTTTTCTTGAACCGTTAAATGAATCTGTGCTGATTCATGATGAAGATGAAAAAGTCATCATGAGAATATTAACCGCTTTAGAGAATTATTGACCACTACTGAATATTAATGAATAGTACTTAATTTTCAAACGATTGATATTTTCAATAAAAAAAAAGCTTTTACTCTCTAGTTCATGCAACTGTTAATTGTTTTTAACTAAAATGGTCACCAGTTATCATCTTTCGTTTATTATACAATCTCAAGTGTAAGATACGAATATCTCTATTACATTCCACGCAGTATAATGGAACTAGTAATTAACCAATCAGTGTGATTTTATTTTGTCGCTTGCTCTTTAAGTTCATCATTAAATATCTTAAGACAATTGTCGGCGGCACTTTTTCTATCTATTCAACACTACCGTTTATTTTCTATTCACATAGATATTGACTTTGATCAACAATTAATCTATGACATTTTAACTTTACAGGTGATGTTAAAGTTTGAAGAGTAAACCACTTGTCTTATTCAAAAAAATGCTTTTTTTCTTTTTTTTAAATTTCTTGTCGGTCAAACTTCTCTTCTTTTTTTTTTTTAATAATAATTATTTGCATCTGTATCACGGTCAGTGGTCTCTGAACAGAAAAAAAGGAAAGAGTTTGTTTATATGTTTATGTTATGCTAATAAGGTGAATGGGGTGTTATACTTGACCGTTACTACTATTTATTATTGTTGATGAAGATATGTCTTCTCATCTTTTCCACTTGTATTTGGTATCTTTAATTTCATTATTTTTCTACGCTTATCTAATACGGCACGAATGTCCTATTTTTAGGTTAAAAGTACACAAAATATTCTTTCTTTGTTGTTCATTTTCACACTTAGATATTAAAAAAGTGATTATTAAGATACAAAAGTGATTGCGTCGCATGTAATATTATCTCGACTTTTATTAAACCTTTACACTGTCGACTTTTATCAATCGCAGTAGAGAAGATATGAAAGAAAAAAAGACACACGTCTATCTATCTATCTATATTCATCAGATGTTTTTACTAGAAAAAAAATTGTTTACTTCCTTCTTAAAATGATGATTATTTATAAAGAATATTGTATAACACTTTTAATGTTTCTAACCTTTCTACTAAGCTTTTGAACATTTTTTTTGTTTTGTTTTATTGTTATTCATATTGTACATGTGGAGAATCCATTAAGAGAAACTAAGTAGTTTAGTTTGTATAGTTCATTAATTATTATATTGAGAAATAGAATGATAATGATCATTCGTTCACTTTTTAGTATGATGCGATAGAGTTTTTAGTGTAATACAGATCATAAATAAATTATTATACGATGACATAATTATAAAAGATGATATATACCACATTTAGATCGAAGAGAGAAAAAGATGAAATAAACATTTTTTTTTTTATATGATTAAATAATTGTTTAACATTTGGAAATATGAACGGGTTATACAACGCGTGCCACACAGATGTATACGATTCTTTTGAGTTTCTTATGATGATTTGCTAATATATCTATACACAGTCAGACATATGAGAAGACAATTGATCAAATAATTGTTTAACTCAATATTTAACACATTTTAGATTTGATATTCTCATTTTTAAACAACGTTTATTTTAAATAATAAAGAAATATGTTTTTCATGTGAATATACAACAACTATTTTATATTTAAATGTCGAATTATAGTACTTTACTCCTTTCGTTAGTAATATTTCTTGAAAATGTCTACCAAATCGTTTCTCGCCTCTCGTCGAGCACGTGTAGGTTTAGAAAAAAAGCAAAAAAATGTTAACATTCTAAAGTAAAAAAAAGTCTTTTTTTATTTTGTTTGATTTTAATCATACAAAATTGTTTAAAAAGTTAATCAATAAGCTAATAGATAGATATAAATCCTTTGCTTGTACTACGTCATACGTGCTGAAGAGACAATAATAACATCATGGTCAAATAAAAAAAACAAAAAAAAAACGAAGAAAAAATCCTTGATACATTGTATTAATAGTTACACCCTTATTCTTATCATTACATAATGGAAAAAAAAAACTCATCATATTTAGCATTTGTCTTTCTCAGTATTCAGTAAAAAGTTAAATAAATCAATTCTTAAACGGACAAATTTTTATTCATTCAGATATTTTGTCTTTCATAAGTGTCAATAGAGATCGTGTATCAATATTATGTTTTTGTTCCTCTTAATTATGTAAACGTCTTTATATACATTTTTAAGTGATAAATAATAATATTCCGGTGACAATGTAAATTATAAGTTAAAAATGTGTCTAACTTAAACAACTCTTTTATTCATAATTTGAAAGAAACATTTTTTTTTTTTATTACTAAATAAATATATTCGAATAGTTTGATCATTAATGGTGCAATTCCGGTGGATTAAAATCTAGAGACCTTTGAAAATATACAATGAACATTAACACTATCATCAACACTATAAAAGAAAAAAAAAGAAGTTTTTCATTACTCTATATTTTATGTTATTTTCTTGGGAAAATAAAAATGTGTAATAGCTTCAAGTCATATCGATTTATGAAATGAATGATTGATTATGTTTATTGACACTATATGAAGATTGTTATACATAAAGTGTGTGCAGTTCCGTAAAAAAAAATACAACTAGTCTACTCACTCAAATAAAATCAAACAGGAAATCGTCTTTCAACACCTTATGTACATAATATATACATATAGAGAGAGAGAGAGAGAGAGATGTTAGCATCTAATGTCGGATTTTAGCCAATATTCGATTAGACTTACTCCCACTAGACAAATCTGTCCATTGAATGTTTGCAAATACATCTAGATAAAATAATGTTAATATAGATACGTAAAATTATAAACAAGAGATGGATAAGACAATTTTCTCTTGAAAAAAGACACTATCGAAGAAGAGTAAAATCAATAGAGATAGATTAATAAAGTCAAATAAAATCAGGCACAGTGAGATAGAAAAAATAAAATTTAATAAAAATATTGTATATTAAACAACTTTGAATGTTCATCTGTCGAAGAACTCAATATATTTTCTTATCTTATATCCTATTATTTATAGAGTATGACTAGAAAAACAAACTATGAATATTTTTTATTCGGATATAGAAAAATTTAAGTTGTTTTCAACACGTTTCATCCGATTTTAAATCTTTAATACAATTTAGAATGTGTACTAAAACTATGTCCCATTTGCTTGCTAGTCAATTTTAATTATTATGTGACGCCAGGTGTTTGTTAGTGTAATGTAAAAGATTATTAAACATCGAATTTTTTACTGTTCTATAAGACTTAATTTGAGATAAACAGTTTGTACTATTTATATAACCATCATCATCATCATGATCGTCCTGGCATCCTCAATTTTAACTTCAGAGATAATTAGGATATATAAAATAAAAGATATTTTTTTTTTTATTTTGGACATTATCGAGACTAGATTAGAGTCAATCTGTTAAAACATAATAAACATAGAGTTTAAACAAGTCTAATTTGTTGTTTGTTTGATCATCTATTGATTTATGAGATTACAATTAGGAGACGCTGTGTGATAGCAGATGGTTGCTTATTTTTGTTTTTTGTCAGAAGTTACATGTTGATTCGAATGAAATTTTGTATCTTCTACTGACTGATGTTTTTCTTTTACATAAAAAAAAAATTCCTTAAATACAATTTTCATTAATTTGATAATATTTTTAGTTTCTCTATAAGGAACGATGTTCGTCCAGTAGATTGTACATTGAAAGAGGAAAGAATTTAAATAATAAATATATATTAACTTGATATTTCACTTTTTCAAATTTCATTTCAAATAGTGAAACATTAACGAGTAGATCGAACGAAGAATAAGGCGGTTCTTGACTCAAGAGAGTCTGAGAATCACTACTCACTTCTCTTATCTGTGTTCTTAGAAGAAGAAAAATCAAACGTCGAATTGCCTTTTTCTAAGTTAATAGCTCATACTGTGTAAATAGACATAATGTTCAAGACTAAACTTTTTTTTTTGAGGAAGACAAATGACGATCTCGGATAAAATCTTGTATAGTCATTTTTTGTTTATGGAAAGTGATGGTTTTTAAATGATTCTAATCTGTATAATCTTAGTATGTCGGTATTATATAAAGAAATAGTTTAACGTTAAACGTAAAACATGTATTTATCGAAATGTACTTATTTTAAGATTTCTTTTAAATCAGATAACAACAAGTTCAATATATTTTTTCTTCTTCCAATACGGATTAATCGCCAATCATTCACAGAATCTTAACAAACAGCTAGTACATTTTTCTCTTATTTCTTTTACTGATAAGTATTATTTTTTTCTTATTCATGCGCTTGTCATTTAGCATAACTAACAAATCGATTTTTAATGATTTTACTTTCTTCACTATTTTATACTTAACATATCGTTAAATAAAAATTACAATAAATTTTATACAATAAACTCAAGAAGCTGTTTCATTTTTATAAAGAATTTAACTGAAGAATAAACATCTGCATTCATACAAAAAAAAATATTGTCAGTCAAAAATGCAATTTAATGATGATGTATGACTAGAATTTTTTTATTTTTTTTTTTTACTTTTATCTTATCTTCGAACATCTCACCTATACACTGTACATACAGTGAAAGTGTGTATATTTATGTTGATATATGATGACTTTAATTTGATGCTTCTTTTTATCCAAGAGTTGATGAAATAAGAGAAAAGCTTTTTACACAAATACACCTTTTCATTTTATTTTCAACCAATAAAGACAAAAAACATTTTTTCCGATATCAGTAGCATAGTATAGTGTAAATAGAATGTATAATTATAAGATTGCGTTATTTAACAAGTCAAGGTGATAAGCGAAAATGTTATAAAAGAATAATAGGTGTTTTTCAATTGCTTTTTTTCAATTGAGACAATCGCATGATCAATCAATCATTTTGAGTGTGTTCTACTATTGGATCAACGCGTGTCTCATCCTGAATAAAAAAGTTTATCATTATAACTTAATACTATGTTCATATGGCATTGTTAATTATGATCAGAACTAATCAGAGTCATACTTTAGACTAAAAGACAGAAATCGGCATTGGCTTGCAAAAATTTTACGCCGATTATCGAAATCTTTCAAAATTGCATAGTCTTTTACCGTAAGACTTTTTTCTCTATGAAATTCAAATTTTTAAAGCTATAGCTTAACATTTTTAAAGATTCATTGTTCTGTGATAACCGATTAAATATTAATTTTGAACAAATATATTCAACCTATAAGAAAATCTTCTTTGTTGCGAAAACAAAATGATAGCTTGTGAAGAGCAGAGGAGAAGTGTCATTCCCTCAATAGTGACGTTCCTGGAAATAATCATAAATGGAGAGATTTAAGAATTTTACTGTGTGAAGCCGACTATTTCCTATCATTAACGATAATTGACGGTGTTTAAATAACAGCGAGTGAATGTTGATTTATAAGCAACTACGAATCACGATTAAGACAAAAACGCTCATTTTGTTACAAAAGAAAATGACATGCCACATCGATAAGATATTTAATTATGTACAGTGCAATGATGCTTCTCTTGCAGCGATATTAATTACAAAACAGAAGTTTTTAATGTTATTATTTTGAAAAAAATATGAATAAAACGAAGAATAATTTATGTTCATTGAGAATACCAAATAAAATTTTTGACAGATATTTTTCTTTCTTTAAAATATACGTTAATAATTCTTAAACATACACATAGCATATAATCATGATCAACGTTGATCACGACTCTCTTAATCAGTCATATTCTAAACATGATCAAAATTAACTATAACCAATCGTTTTTTCTTGGTAAAAGATGTGTCTAGAGGGCTAAGTTAATCATGATTAACAATATCATGTGGACAGAATGTTAGTCAAGTTATCTCGGCATTAAATGTATATTAATAGAGAATGAAGTTTGATTCTTTGAAAAACCGAATTCAAATCACATTTTATATAACAAAGATAAATCAGTTTTTACTCACAGTTATAAATGGAATAAAAGTTTGCATTTTGTTTTAAAGCTATTTGTGCCATATGAATTTGAACTTCTTATCTTCTTCCGTTCTTTCGAAATTTATTGATTGTTATTTCATACAATCGTTGAGAATATACTAGAACATGATGGATTATGAGATATCAAGATGCTTCGATTTATTACAATTCAACCTCTAAAAACTAACTTAAACATTCAATTTCATAACAAGACTGTATGGTAATATTACTGTGTACAATAGTCGATCTCATAGTTGGTTGATAACATTGATTTAATTCTTTATCTTATAATTCGAAGAGTATATTATATAACACAGTACTTTCTGTTTTAAAATTATTTTTTTTCGAGATTTTCCGTCGTCCATTAATATTAGTTAACTGAATTGTATTTTATTTTCTATTTTAGGAAATGCTGCATTGATATCAGAAGCTCTACGACATTATCAAAGGATAGAAAAACGAAGTGAAAATAATAAAAAAACTCATCCACATCATCTTAAAAAAGAATATGAATTACGATCATCAACGAGAAAATCACCATTTAGAAAACTTAAAGTAAATTATTAATATTTCTTTTTCTAAAATCTATTAGATTTTCTTTTAATTTCTAGCCGATTCGTTTCGATCCAGTTCAGTTACGTCGTAAAAAGTGTTCATCAACATTAATTGAAGAAGAAAATCGTGTGGGTTCATCTTCTTCATCCGGTAAGTTTTATTGTAATAAAAATATTAGTTAGTCACATAAAATTTATTTAGTTTGTACTTCTGCATGATACTATCTCAGATTTATTTATTATTATTAGGTTTTCGTAGTATATCGTATTCAAATATTGAAACATCATCATTAGTTGGAAATGTTGATTTACCTGTTTCATCATCATTAAACAAAAACACTAATATTCAAATATTAGTTTCTAATGATGAAAATTCAAAACCAATATATGCTGAAGCATTATGGAATCATATTACTTTAGAACCCAATTATTTACCATTCAATGTAGGTGATTTAATATTAGTTTTAAATAAAAATGATCAAAAATTATGGTATGGTAGAGTGGGAACAAATGAAGGATGGTTTCCAGCATCATTTGTCAGAGTATGTTCATGTCATAAGACTATAAATACTATATTTATGAGTAATATTCTAGCTATAAATTATTAATTTATTAATAGATAAAAGTTTGTCAAGATTTAACTATTGTTGATCGTCCACTACAAGACGAAATGAAACATGGTAGACATCGTCCAACAGTAGTAAATAAATTGAATTTTATGCGTTCAAATGTTATACAAGAAATTGTTAAAACAGAAAGTGATTATTTAAATCATTTAAAAAATATATGTGATGTAAGTTAAATAAAAGATGATCAAATTTCTCGTATATATATATATATCTATTTTATATAATGATCAAAATTATTTTTTTCTAGGGTTATATTGTAAAAATGCGTCAACGTACTGATTTGTTTTCTACGAATCAAATCAAAGTACTAATGGGTAATATTGAACAAATTTATTCATTTCAACAACATTTTTTTCGATTATTAAAAGTATCGATTGATGAATATTGTATACACGATAGTCTAATAGGAAAATGTTTTCTTTTATACGTAAGTATAATTATTATAGACGGATGATTATGTATTTAGAACTTTTATTTTTATTTACGATTCTAGAAAGAAGAATTTAAACAATATTCTGATTATTGTATTAATCATCCGTTGTCTTGTATTGAATTAAACAAATTAGAAACAATACCAAATTATAAACAGTTTTTTGAAGTAAGTAAGCAAGATTTGTAATAGCAAAAATTAACTAGATGTCAAACTATCCTGCGGACAAATTGGAAAGCCGATAAAGGGAAACGTTTCTTCGAAACACTTTAGACACCGTTTGAATTTCTTACATAAAACGGTTAGAACACTGCAGTTCTCTAGTAGTAAACATATTGATACATTTGATGAATTTATCAAAATTTCTACGATTGGGAATAGCGGAGAACGAGTGGCTGACTCGAGAAACAAAAGGGTATTACAAAGAATTTTTTATGGTAAAATAAAATAAGCCTCCTCGAATTTCACTCGATCAGTTTAACTAGAGAGCCAACTGCTCTGCAGGAAGATTGAAAAGTTGACTGAGTGAAATGGTAATCAGACGAAATGAAACATCCAGAAAAAGATAACTGTCAACGTATCTTTTACGACCTATTATTCAGGGTATCAATTTTTTTGATCACCAAAAAAGTGACTTTTGATCACCAAATTTATTAGCAGTGAAATGATCACCAAAAAATAAGACTTTTGATCACCAAATCAATTAAAGAAGTTTTAATTAAAGAAA